TTTGTAGGTAGTTTTTTTTTATTTCTTAATATAGAAATGAAAATTTTTAATAATAAGAGACATTTGAATTATATCCTTATAAATAATTTAGGAACCCATATTTAGCTATACCTACCTTAAAAAAATATCCAGGAAATACAGATCGTGATTATCCTTTATTTCAGCAAGACAATACAAAACTCCATATTTCAAAAATCATCACTATATTTTTTGAAGATCATAAGATTAGGGTATTAGACTGGCCTGCCCTAAGCCCTGATCTGAATTTTATCGAAAACTAAGGATCCGAACGATTCTATTTAGAATCGAATTTAAACGATTCGATTCGATTCGATTTTTAAATTAAAAAAATTAAATTTAAACGATTCGATTTTGATTTATTTGATTTGATTCTAATTTTAAATAAAATTGTTAAAAACTCGATTCAAATCAGATTCAATCAATTTATGATTTTCATATTGTTACACTTGATCTTTGCTCAACATTTTATTTACTCTTGTAACAATCCACTAGTATTTAACCCTGAAATATCCTTTTCTTGTTCTAGAATTTCTGTACTATTGATCTACTGTAATATCTTCACCTACTTTACCTACTTAACTATTTCTTCCTATTCTGGAATATTCTTTAATTTTATTTACTATTATTACTTTGTTATCTTCGCCAGAGTATTCATCTCTACCAATGTTAATATATTTGACTATATTGATAAAAATACCATTTCTTCTATAACTATTATCTTTACCAACATATACTACTATTATGTATGCCAATTATATATTAAAAATATGTATATAAATGCCTCCAATTTCTCTTGGAATTGCAAGGTTGAACTTTCCTCTTTATTAATAAAATAACTTGACCTTTATAAAACAAATCACTATTGCCTTTTTTGCTTGACCTCATACATCTCAGAACTGTACTAATTTTAGTACACTCTTATGAACTTTAGCATATCACATTGATCCATCCATACAAAGTGTCTTTCTACTATTAGTTCTCTATCTATATCTTTCTCCTGAGGAAGAACGATATATGACAAATTGGTGGTGACTATGAGATGCACCTCATCCATTAGACACAAATTTGACAATCAGGTCCCAAAAATGGAACGCTCTTTGATTGCCACCTCTGAGAAATTGTCCCGAGGAAGTTTGATCTTCAAAAAGTGATGATCGGAAAAACAAAAACTAATTCCGCTCCAACAACAATGCCTATGAAAAATTCGGCTGCTGGTATATACCGAATAGATGAAAAAGCATTGTTCCAACCTAAAAGAATTCCAAATTCAACAATAGAAGCTCTGGAATGGCTTGCACAAAAGAAAAGTGAAGCCTAAAGAACAATGATCATGGAATCAGCGGTATATGTGCCTCCCTCTAAAAAAATTAAATACAAAAAAAAAATAATGATGAATAAGAATGACACTGTACTATATCGTTCCAAAGAAATCATGTGTCCCCATCCGTCCCAACAGCCAAAAAGATACTTACCTCGCAGTGAGAAGTCAGCCCTGAGAATACGGCCGGTATACCATATAATCGCGAGAAATTCAATGCACCTCCAATGTACAAAGAGAAAATGATGGATTAGTATTGACCGTTTCCTTTAAAACAATAATTATAATAATAATTATAAAAAAATAAAAAATAAAAAGAAGAAAGAAAAGAGAGGAAAGAGACTGCTTACCTCTCAACAAATCGTCGGTACTGATGATCACAAAAAAAGTTGTGATGCTAAAAGAAGCAAGGAACGAGTTCCTAAAAGGAAAAAAGGACTGTTCAGTAAAAAGAAGAATGGCAAAGAAACCAAAGGCAAAGAATCAAACTTACCGACGAGACTCCGGTAGCCAAGCCAGGGACGTAGATATCACCGAGGATCAAGGAGAACCCGTGGATGATGAATCGGACGTCAAGAGCATGGGGCTAGGAAAAGACTGGTAAGAAAAAGTTAGAAACCAATGGTAAAATGTTGCAAAATGAAGAAAATGCCACAAACGCTATGACTTACTAGAATTGTATCAAAACGAGAGAATGCGAACACCGAAATGCTATCATGATCGAGATCACGATCATGATCGCAAAGAAAAAATGTTTATTATACGAAGTCTACAAAAGTTAAGCATGCCTAAAATATATATGCATACATATATATTCTCAAAGCAGCAAGAAAAGTCTAATGCTCCGACAAGTCCCCATCATAATAAATGACCGATGAGAGATATACTATCCTGATGATTGGAAATACCAGGACAAGATCGCGAAGAAGGTACTGACATGGAAAGAAAAAAACAAGAGTGGTTAGAGAAAAAATTAACCATCCAAAAATAAAAAAAACGGATATAACAAACAGAACGCTTACTTCACCTCGAGAAGATGACAGCTCCAATATGAACACTGGGATGTTGTCATAATCGTGATCATGATCATAATCATGATTGCGCCCTCCACAAGTAAACGAACACCTATCCAATCAAAAAAAAAAATATTTCCAATGGAAGCGGCAGTAACGTCAAGGTAGTTGGATGGATGAGAAGAGGTTGGAAAAGTACAAAGACTACAGTAATCAAGGTTTTGCTATGGCTTGAATTTTTCAGAAGATGAAACGCCGATGGAAGTTGATGTAAACGATGAAGCAGCTGTGATGATGTTACCCAGTTGGAGTATAATCTCAAGAATGGATCAGTCTACAACAATTGCCCTGCTTTTTTATGGTTAAACATCGGAATGTACCATCAACATCAATCACGAATGCTACCACATCACCTTCACAACCATTATGCCGATGTCTATTCTACCACCAATGTAGTTTCATCTGACAGATCTCAATATTCTACTGACAAAGTATGTCCTTCTGAAACTGTGACGACAATAATGACGATGGAAAGTATTACCAACTGACGAAGACAACAAGAAAGAAAGCTTACAGAAAAGCTTACCACCATCAAACCAACCAACTGTTCCCATGAAGCCATATCAAGACCTACAAAGATATGGTTAACATACACCATTAAAACCATTAGCATACACGTACTGATCTTACCCCATCGTGATCAAACCATACCGCATTACCAAGATTCTATAAAGACAAAAGCGAAGTTAATAATTACCTTACTCCTTTTTACCCTTACCTTTTTATAATTCCTTTGTTATTCCTTTGATTATTCCTCATACTCTATTAATATTAGTAATACATATATCATTTTACTTCTTTATTTTTATGATTTGAAAAAAAATATTATTATTTTGCTCTAGTAATTTCATAAAGCTATTACATAGCTGTAGATGACCTTGATTCTTAGGAATCCATAGCATATGCTGATTAAAGACTGGTTAGTTATGAAATGCAAAATTGTAACAGGATGATGCTTGAGGTTATAGCATTTTATGAAATTATCAAAATGATTAATACTATTTTTTCAATTCATTTTGCACAAATAATATATTCATTTTATTCATATAAATATTTTTAATTTTATTAAAATTTTATTATTTTATTATTATTATTACTTTTACATTTTTAATAAGAAACATTGAAATATTGAGGTATTCTTTAGCTACTGTATAAAATACAGTACCTAGGTTATATGACATGGACATAGATACTATGATAGCCCAGTCCTCAACTTGCCTAAATACAAGTATTATTGAACCCTTGAATAAAGAAAGGAATCTGAAAACTAAGAAGCAAGCAAGAAATACAGTGTAATAAAAAGGGCCCACTAAGCTTTTCTCTTTCATTACAACCGGTCCACAAAGCATACTCAGTGACTACTGTATTTCTTGTAATGAATTTATAAAGCTAGATTGAACAGAACAAAACACCAAGGTCAAAAAAGGCAAATCTCTAATTGAATTCAAAGGTGAAAAAGGACCAGTCGAAAGGAGTAGGAGCAGGAGTTTTTAAAAGTTGAAGGAGTCCCTCCAACTGAGCCACCCTATTCTTCAAATTGAAGTTTTCCAACTCCAACTCTCTATTGTGACAGTGAAGGATCCAAGCGTCTGAAAGTTTTTCCAAGTTAGCCTGTAACTTGGTAACCTTTTCTTTCAACTTAATAATCTCTTCTTGCAAGGTCTTGACTTTCTTTCCATGACATACCAAATGCTTCAAATTTTTAACCCTTTCTTGAAGCATTATAATCTTCCAGAAAGGATCTTTATAACTAGAGCAAGTAAGGTGAGCAACTTTGGACATATGGTTTTTTCTAGGCATGATTATGATAACAACAAATCTGAAGCAAGAAAAAAGGGAAGAAAAATCAGTATTCAAATCAGATTCAATCAATTTAATTTATATAGATCACAACTAATATATAATAATAATCAATTATAGATTATCATTTATTATATTTCAATAGATAAAATGAATTTTAGATGATAAAAAAATTTTTATTACTAAAGCAAAGTTTGTTTTTTTTTGTTAACTCATTTTTTTTTATTATTTACAAAAATAATAAATATCTTCGTTTCAAAATACAAATGATTCTTTTATACTTGATAGTGATACTAATCAAGAATCAGAAAATATTAATAACGAAATATA